ACCAAAAATCTCTATGAAGGATGTATTGTAGCTGCGAAGGACGCTGGCCATTTGCCGGATTAGCCGCCTAATCCTTGGTCCGAGCGTGCGAGTCTGTCTATGTGTGTGTCCGCTGTTCTATTTACGTTGCTTGACCAAACAATTAGCGCAAAATGCTGTTCGCCAATTTTAATGAGTTATGAAATCTGTTTACCGGGAAACACGACTGACAACAAAATACTGCCGTCTGATGCGGCGATCGCTCGATCGTAAAAAGCAAGAAGTGCAGTGCTTCACTTTACTCCAGTTGCTGCAGCGCTAGTTTGGATGCAGTTACGTCTCCTATCTAGGTGTAGGCTCTACATGCATGTATCCCATCGCTAATCCCGCCTGCTTAGCGGTTGCCTAATCTTAATCCCAATAGGAACAGGCTCAGGCTAATCCTGATGCACTGCTTCCGAGCAAGCGACGCGCGCTCTGACGTCACTCGCTGGCTTAATTAAATCACTGGGATTAGCTTGAGCTGGCGACCGAGCTCGAATCGCGTGCCGAAGATTCATTCAAGCCTCTAACCCCTTGCCCAGGCGCTGGCTGTCGTGTGACTGGCTTGTGCCTTAGCTGCACCCAAGACTCGATCTTTCTCCTGCTCTCTGTCGACAATCAATTTGATATCAAACAGGCAGCCTGTTGAGCGCCCTGAGCGTTTTTTAAATAGTCTTTTTTAGGGGATGCTGCGCGCTATTCAAGAGGATCGCCGGGCTTGTTTACACATATGGCAAGAGGCAAGGGCGCCCGCCACGCCTTCAGCAGAGGCTTGTATTGCAGAGACAGGGAGAGCAGCAGGAGTTTCATTTCCAGGAAATATTCAGTACAAGCTCAGCTTTACACTCAGCTTAGTTCAAGTCCTGGCAAGTCCTTTGCTGCAACTCTTTACCACACGTTCGCACATGCTGAGTCCTTTTTAAGCCGCGCCTCATTAGGCGAAAGGGTAGCCTGGTTTTTCGCCGCATTAAAAAGCGGATTTGAATTAATGCCAAGTTCCGCACTAAAATAATATTCAACTCAAGATTGCGTGGCTTAGCCTTACCCGCTGGCCTATTCATTCAGCCGCATCCTGAGTTGAGCTCAAGGATTAGCAAATGCTTAATCAGCCTGCTTTGCATGCCAGTTCATTAAGCGCCGTCTCTGAGCGACAAATACAGAGAGAGAGAGAGAGATAGCAATTCGATTTGTCATTTTTATTATCATGAAGAACATTATCAGCCCATTATCGATTGCTCGATTGACTATAAATCAGAGGAACCCCTCGCTCGATCGAGTGTTACAAATAGCTAAAAAATTTGTGGGCAACACGCAGAGCGAGAGAGATCACATAACATCGTGTACTACCCCTAACCCTATGGCTAACCCTACCCCAGGGCTGGGCTCAACTTTCGCTTTCACTCTTTCACTTTTTATGCACTCTTCCATTTATGTTGACAGCTCACCCTCTTGTGAAGCACGCCTCCTGCGAAATATTTGCTAAAAATTTGTCGTTTTTTGGGCAATTTTTGTTTGAATTTTGGCTTTGCAGCGGTTAGGGTTATGCTTGGCTAAACAAGTAGATGCTGGCAAACAGCTGTAATACGAACCTGGACAGACGGGCCAGTAATAAAGCCAGTGCAGCTGCACTCAAAGAGTTGCCAATATGCTGGCTGAAAGGGTAGCCCAACGGTACTAACAATGAATAAGCTACATCAGGTTTCACTGATTTTTAATAATATTTGAAAAAAAAAAAACTGTTCTCCTATTATTTATTATTGAATATAAGAACATTTTATATGTATATATAAAATTATTAAAAATAAATAAATATAAAATTCAACATCAAATGCTAATGAAAAAGTGTAACGACTTGTTTGAATATATGATTTATTAATAAATACAATATAAAGTGAACACCAAATATATAAATATAAACAATACAAATATATTTAAATTAAACATGGTTTACTTATTTAAATTCAGCTGAACATTTTTCATTTAAAATAAAAAATGTGTTGAATTTGCATCTGCATGTCATTATCGTAAACTGAGATACATTCAGATTTAGTTTTTCATTATATTTCTTAATTGAGATAACTTTGCAATCCTAGAAAGTATTGCTCACTTTTCTCAGTAATTGAAAATTGGAGTAAAAAGAGCTCAAAGTACAAATTCGCGCCTGCCCTGCTTAATAGTTAATAGTATTAATTTGAATTTCAATGTCATGAGCTACGCACTAATTACAGCTAATTGATGTTGGGATAGGTTAGTAGTCGAATAATAATATTAGTTGATAGCGGCACGCACTATCTAACGCACTAGTGGCACACATATAAAACGCACATTCCAAGGCACGCATATGGCACGTACATGTAGAGCTCTCCCAGTACTTTCTCTTGACAACGAAAAATGAGCTGATAATGGGTTGGCTTGCTCTGACATTTTATTATCAGCGAAGACCGGATCTCAATAAAGAAGAAGAAGAAGAAGCAGCAGCAACAGCAGCAGCGCTAAGTAGCTGTGACAATAAATGTTTGTTAAATCGCCCGCTTATCAAAGGAAGAGATTGTTATTCTGACTAATCCAGCTTTGGGATAAAACATGCATATAAAGGGGTCGCCAATATTCCAAGATTTCTTTATCGCTTTCTTTATCTCGTTGTCTCCTCTCTTTCTCTCTCTCTCTTTCTCTCTGTCTCTCTTTCTGTCTCCTTTCTGGACGATTCGGCGTTGTTTTTAATGTTTTCTACGTATTTTAATTTCCTGGCAAATATCATATATTGTTTGTTTGACTAATCCATCGGGGAATTGTTTTAGTTTTTGCCAGTTTTACGTAACATTATGCAGAGCAAAATATCCTACTCGGCAGACTCTCTCTGTGAGACAAAGGTCCTTTTTGGGCCATTGTAGTTTTCACTTTCGAAAATTTGCAAAATTTCCACGGTAGTTCGAGTGCTGACCGAAATTAACATCCCGTCGCGCTCTTCGGTCGCGTCCTTGGCCTACCTAACGGCATCTCAATATGCATACATTTACATGCACACATATATGACTGTCGCATATTTATGCACGTTTTCAGCTGAAGTTGTGCATGTCCTTGCCATAAAAATCTACATAAAACCATTTAAAAGTCAATCCGCAAAAGTCAGCAGTCAAAAAAGTGATTTCGAAACTGTTTTTTAGCAACGGGTTTCTGTTCAAGTTTTTTGTGGCTGGCCCTTACCTGGTTTTAATACTACTTGTTTTTTTTGTTTTTTTTTTTTAGATGTTTCTCTATTTTTATGATATTGGCTTTTTAGACGTGTGCCAGCAATTAGTTGGCCATTAAAAATGCTGCTCATTGAGCAAATCAACTCAGCTCAACTCAACAGGCTGCTCGGCATATAAAAAAAAGAAAAGAAAAAAAAACTCACTCACTTTTGCCCCTTCGCTCTACTTTCACTTGGGCTTCGCCCCTTTTTGAGTAGCAATTCGCTTTGTTTACTTCCTGTTTACTCGTACAGCGCACGCTCCCAGCCAACCCCAGCTACCGGTTGTAACCCCACACTCCTCGCTCCTTGCTGACTTTTGGCGTTCGTTGTCGCTTGCTCGCTCGCACACTCAGCCGCTCTTTTCGCCTTTATCATCCCCTTTGCGCAGTTGAGCGCATTTCTCGTTGCTTTATGTACAAAGGGGAAGTCTTTATATGAGTTAATTGCTGCTGTTTGAGTGGAACTGAAATATTTTAAATTTTAACTGTCTGTCAAGTGTTTCCTATTTTTTATGAAGGTTCTAAAAAACGGAAGTGCAGGTTAGTTTTTTAAGGATACTATAGGTAGTTTTTATTTTTTTATTTTTGTGAGTTATAAAAAACTCGTGGGTCATAAAACCATAAAACTTTTAACGCCCCTTGTAGAAACATATTTGTTATTATTTTTTATGCGTTTGGCTAAAAAAGTCAACTCATTGTATCTTGCTTTAAACTGGCATTAAYAGAAATTAGTTTAGTTTAGTTCTAGCATTACGATTTATTCCGTTGAACAGCTGAAACATTCGCCTTCTCACTCTTACTAATTTGCATATGAGCGGCATCAAACACTGCCTAGGTAAAACAACAACAGCAAAGAAAGAGCGCAAAGCAAAAGCAACAAAAAATTGCGGAGGTATTTTTGAGCAGCGCTCAGTTTTTTTTACAATCTCATATACATAAACACACACGCACACACATTGAGCCTCATAAAGGAGAGCACGTTACCTGCTTTGATCGGCAGCGCATTTCGGGTTTCGTTTTTCGTTTCGTTTCGTTCTTGCGTCGTGCTTCCTCCCTTTGGCTGGCTGGCAATGTGCGTGTGCGAGCGAGCGAGTGAGTTGCTGAGTGAGTGAACGATTGAGTGCGTGCCTGCGTTTGTGTGTGTGTGTTCGTTGTGCAGAGAGGGTGAGCGTGTGAGCGTACTTATAGTTAGCGCACGCGGCGAATTCGTATCATTCGTGATTTGGCTCTGGCAGTGAGAGGAGCACAGTTTCTGATGCCAAACAAATACACATACACACACTGACACAATCGTAAAACACACTCACGAAGCAAATTTGTTGCTTCTAAAGGATTTCCACAGCGCAAAGGATACACTCTCTGAATATAAAAACGTGTTGCAGTCGTTCGCTTCATATCATTTCTCAGCGACAACTCGTCACAGTCACAACTCAAGAAACTTAGTTAAAAAATAACAAAATATAAAAATTCAATTTGTTGTGTCTTAACGATAAACTAAAGGAAAAGGAATCGCGAGAACCAATAACATCAAACCAAATACCTCAACAAAAAAGGAAAAAATAAAAAGTTAAAGTTAATAATAAAAATACGAATAACAAATTTATAATTACAACTACCTCATTTTTGTAAAACGTGAACTTTTGTAAACTGTGCAACAACTACCTCAAAGTACAAACACACACATCACATCCATACCCTCACCCACACACACCAAGTGCGCGAAATTATAAAAAAAAAACTAGTTTTTGAAAAGTTTAAAACTAAAAACAGCTCAAATGAAATTAAGTGTTCAGAACTGAATAAAAAACACAAATTGTAGTGAAATTGTAAGCAAAACGCTTGCAATTTGATTTGCTCAATCGAAGCAAGGACACCCACAAACTAAAACACAGCATACAGCTATGGCCATATCAATGCTGCAGGACGCGCAAACACGAAGTAAGTAAACTTAAAAAAATATAGGAAAATATTTATACGTAAAAGTAGATGTTAAAATCATCAGCAGGACAATCCACATTTTCAAAACATTTCCAAATTCATTACCTATTAAAATATACCAAATAAAAAATATTCAATAGAATATTTTTACATATTTTAATAGTCTAATATAATAATATAAACATTAGAAAATATTAGAAAATAGGATAAAAGAATTCAACATCAACATCAGCAACAACTACATATTTAGTATTAGACATACATTCCCTTACTATACTTCACTTCAAAGTTTTACTCTCTATCCGAATAGTATTTTATGCTTCAATTTCTTTAAACGTACTAAAGTTCGCATTAAAGCGCAGCGATTGACATGCACACAAACACATGCTTAAGCACGCACAGCAATAACGACGTCTCAATGTGCTTGAGTTAACATTAGGCGCCATTTTGGCAAATGCTCAATGCACGCACACACACTCACAAGCTGGTTCATACACGCACACATGCACAGCAATTAAGTTTTGTTTACAAGTCTTTTTTTTTCTTCGCCGGCATTTAACTCGTTTCTTCACGCCCACCAAAACAAATGTCAAAGAGAGCGATAGAGAGGGAGAGAGGAAGAAAGATAAAGAGAGAAAGAGCGAACGTGTATGGTAGTCGAAGAGCGTGCACACAGACAAAAGCTCACACATATGTTGCACATGTGAGGCTCCTTAAGAGAGCGCGCTCTTTGGCCACCCACACTAGGTCCCACATTCACACGTGCTGCTGCTGCTGTGAACCCCAAAATAAAGAATAGAAAAAAAAAACAAGTTAAAAAGTTGTGTTTGCCGCCGCGGGCAGCGCTGACCAAACTGTTTCTGACAGCTCAGCGGGCGAAGAAAAGAAAAAAAGAATAGAAAATAGAAAAATAGAAAAAAGGAACGAAACATAAATAGAAATCTTTGCTCCAGTTTTTGCTAATATTTTTTTAAAGAAGAAAATTCAAGTTTTGTATTATATTAAACTATTTGATTTTTACTATGCGCTTAGCTAACTTTTGCATTACTTTTCTTACTATTTTTAGGCTTAGCCGCTGCCTTGGCTGGCATCAAGCGCGAGGACATGGTTGTGGATCGCTCCATGTCGCTGTCCCCGCCTATGTCTGCAAATACCTCGGCCAGCAGCCCAGTGGCATCCACCAATTCGCACTCCCTGTACCCCGCGATGGGCCTACAACAGGCGGCCGCAGCGTCCGCCTTTGGCATGCTCTCGCCCACACAGCTGCTGGCTGCCAACAGGCAGGCGGCCGCCTTTATGGCCCAGCTGCCCATGAGCACATTGGCCAACACCCTCTTCCCACACAACCCCGCGGCGCTCTTCGGCGCTTGGGCGGCCCAGCATCAGCAACAGCAGCAGCATCAGCAGCAGCAGCACCAACAGCAGCAGCAACAGTTGCAGCTGCCGCTATCTGGCACCCATCTGCATTCGCCCCCTGCCAGCCCCCATTCCCCGATAGCCGGCAGTGGCAAGCATCCGCTGAGCTCGCCCAATAGCACGCCACAGCATCATTTGGGCCTGGGCTTGGGTGAGCCGGCGAAGAAGGCACGCAAGCTGTCGGTCAAGAAGGAGTTCCAAACGGAGATCAGCATGAGCGTAAGTGACTTGTATCACACACCTGGTGGACCCATCTCACCGCCTTCCAGCGGCAGTTCGCCCAACTCTTCGGCACATGAGGCCACTGCAGCAGCAGCAGCAGCAGCAGCAGGAGGAACAACAGGAGCTGCGGCTCCTGCTAAGGACCCGTCGCGCGACAAGAGCTTCACGTGCAAGATCTGCTCACGCAGCTTCGGCTACAAGCATGTCCTGCAGAACCACGAGCGCACGCACACTGGCGAGAAGCCGTTCGAGTGCCCCGAGTGCCACAAGCGCTTCACCCGTGACCACCATCTGAAGACGCATATGCGCCTGCACACAGGGGAGAAGCCCTATCACTGCTCCCACTGCGATCGCCAGTTCGTGCAGGTGGCCAATCTGCGGCGGCATCTGCGCGTTCACACAGGTGAGCGGCCCTACACCTGCGAGATCTGCGAGGGCAAGTTCAGCGATTCCAATCAGCTGAAGTCGCACATGCTGGTCCACAATGGCGAGAAGCCGTTCGAGTGCGAGCGCTGCCACATGAAGTTCCGCCGGCGCCACCACCTGATGAACCACAAGTGCGGCATCCAATCGCCACCCACGCCCGCCCTCTCGCCGGCCATGAGCGGCGACTACCCAATGGCCACTGCAGCAGCAGCAGTTGCCGCAGCAGCCGCCCTGGAGTGCTCCACCAACAAGTTCGCCGCCATGTGCGCCAGTTACGGCGGCTCGGAGGAGTCCGTCGATTTGGCCAAGAGCAGCCTGGACGAGGAGGCGCCGCTCGACCTGAGCGAGGATGGCGCCAGCTCCGTCGATGGCCACTGCAGCGGCAGCAATGCCCGCCGCAAGGCGCAAGACATCCGCCGCGTCTTTCGGCTGCCGCCGCCACAGATCGTGCACGTTGCCAGCGACATGCCCGAGCAGACGGAGCCCGAGGATCTGAGCATGCACTCGCCACGGTCCGCGGAGTCGCACGAACAGCACAGCGAGGACATCGACCTCGACGAGCTGGACGATGCGGCTGCGCTCTATCTGCGGCAGCAGCAGCAGCAGCTGCAGCAGCACTAAGCGAACTGTGCTAAATGGGCACACCTTGTATATAAAGGGTTCAAGAGGTCAGCGTGTTCATCAGATGAGGCTGGCTGAAGGGTTAATGGAACAGGAATTTATGTCAAGTACAACTAGCTTGCAAAACTAAAAACTAAAAACAAAAAACAAAAACATAACCAAAACCTAAAATACAAACAAAGATTTGATTAATTTTTAGTCATTTAGCAAAAAGAAAACTGAAAATCGATTGCACATAAATCAAAAAGCTCCAAAAAATTGTACAAAACAAACTTAAACTAAGTCTAATTTAGGCGCTAAGGAAAACGCTCCCCCAAAAACTATGAAGAAACGTAACCCAGCTAATGTTGTGCCATTCTCAAAGTCTAGTTTCTAGTTCCCCTTTAGTTGATATTAGCCTATAGACCTTTGTTGTCCAGTAATTGTATATAGTCTGCCAATTGTAAATTATACAGCGCTCTATCCCAAAAACAAAGAAAATGAAAATGCAAAAAACAAAAAACAAAACCTTAAAAAACCACACAAAATCAAAAAATAATTTTAATATATTTTAGTTATTGTTTAGTCTAATTTGTACGCATCTTTTGCTTATTCTCAAAGAAAACGCCAATCAAAATTAACTTTAAGTTATTAAAATTGAAAATTACATCATACAAATAATTATTAATAAATTCTTTTATGCTTAATGCCAATTGTTTTGTTTGCCATACATTGTAAATTTAATTATTTGATTTTCTAATGCATGAATCTCGTTTATTGTCACATATTATCGATTCTGATTAACTTAAGTCACCTCTTTTTAGTTATTTAAATTGTATTTAATGAAGCCCCGCCTATTGTTGCCGCATGCTGTGAGGGGCAAAAAGCTATGAAAATAAAATTGATTAAAACAAAATCAAAAAATGCAAACTTTATGTTTTTTCTTATTTTATTTTAAAATTGAATTACTTTTTTTTTAAGATATTTTTTTTCAGATCACATTTGACATTATTTTATTATTTTCATTTTGATACATTTTTTAATGTATCAAAATATTAATAAATATATTCTACTTTCATTAAAA